ATATATATATATATATATATATATATAGATTGAGGAAAATTAAGACATTTTGATCATTAAAATGTTAAAACTGATAATGAAAAGACTAAATACCCTTAATAAATCAATATACAAAAAATATTCATTAAGGGTATTTGAACAATTTCATGGAGAAATTTTGACATTTAAAGTGTTAGGATATCTTGATTTTCACATTTCTTATAGATATATATATATATATATATATATATATGAGTAGGGATCTATTTATATACAAGTCTTACATACTGTGTTTATGCGCAATTTTAATAATTCATTCTTTCACTTTTAATAGTTGAGACTTATCATGATTTTTTAGATGAAAAATAATTATCTTTAATAAATGTAAATAAATCTCAACCATTGAAAGTGAAGAGAAGAATGGTTGAAATTTTATATGTATAGTGTGTAAAATTTATATGTAAGTGGATCCAAACTCATATATATATGTATAAAGAGAGAGAGAGAGGAAGGATCCACTTTACAAACTATATTTACATAAAATCTTATTTATTCATCTTCTTACTTTAAATGATTAAGATTTATTACTACTTTTTAGATGAAAAAAATAATTATTTTTAATGAATGTGAATAAATTTCAATAATTGAAAGTGAAGAAATGAATGGTTGAGATTTTGTATAAATGTAATGTGTAAAACTTGTATGTAAGTGGATTCTTCTTCCTCCACATATATAGACATATTTATATAAGTTTAATACTTATCCACCTTATCTTCTAAAAATTAAGAAAAAAATTATTTTAAAACTATGTCGTTTTAACAAAGCATACGAAAAAAGACTAATAACACTCTAATCTATGCTTTAAAAAAGGTAATGTTAGTGTTTTTTAATAGGAGTTTATTACAACTCTGTAATTTTGAGATTTATCACAACTTTTTAGATTAAAAAAATAATTATTTTTAATGAATGTAAATAAATTTCAATAATTGAAAGTGAAGAGATGAATGGTTAAGATTTTGTATAAATGTAATGTGTAAAACTTGTATGTAAGTGGATTCCTCTTCCTCCTCATATATAGACATATTTATATAGGTTCAATGCTTATCTACCTTATCTCCTAAAAATTAAAAAAAAATTATTTTAAAACTATGTCGTTTTAATAAAGTATATGAAAAAAAAACTAATAACACTCTAATGCATGCTTTAAAAAAGAGAATTTTAGTCTTTTTTAATAGAAGTTTATTAAAATAATATAATTTTTAGATAATTTTACTCCTAATCTTTAAGAAGTAAGGTGTATAGGTACTATTTCATATATATATATATATATAAAGAGCTATCTACTTACACACAAGTATTATACACCACATGCATACAAAATCTCAACCATGCATTTCTCCACTTTTAATAATTAAGATTTCACTACTTTTTAGGTAGAAAGATAATTATCTTTACTAAATGTGAATAAATTTGAACCATTAAAAGTGAAAAGATGAATGATTGAGATTTTGTATAAATGTGATATATGAAATTTATACATTATATAAAATTTATGTGTAAGTGAATCCTTATGTGTGTGTGTATATATATATATATAAGTAAAGTTGTATTGGAAAGATCAAAACAAATACAATTTTAGTAGCTATGCTCTTTCGCTATAAGCTAAAAATAAAAAGAAAAAAGTGAAAACACTAGAAAGGTCCTATAGTACTGATGCAAAGAGCTAACGCTCATGACATGTATAAATAATTAAGTGCAAAGAGCCTCTAAATATGGGAGTCACTATAAGGTATCAATAGAGTTATGTAATATATAGAAGGTTACCCTTGAGCTTTCTTATCACCTCTAGTAACCAAATTGATCTTACCACCCTTTTCTAGCATGCAATATGGAAAAGAAGAATCAAGTAAGGAGGGAGCGCATGCGCATGAGAGAGAGAGAGAGAGAGAGAGAGAGAGAGAGGCGGCTAGGATTTTTCAATCAACAACTGACACGATAGGTGTAGAATTAAAATCGAACACACACTAAGAGAGAGGCGGCTAGGATTTTTCAATCAACAACTGACACGATAGGTGTAGAATTAAAATCGAACACACACTAACATGGACATAGATTATGATATTCAAAAATCAAGGCCGATAGAATAAACTATTAGATGGGAGACAAGAGGCGGCTCGAGAAAAGAAGAACTGAGAGAAAAAGGAGCAAGAGAGAGAGAGAAGAGGTGGCTAGGGTTTTTCAATTAACAACTAACATGATAGGTATAGAATTAGAATAAACACATGCTAACGTGGACATAGAATATGATATAAAAAAATAACACAAACAAATAAAGTTGTTAAGTTAAAAAATCTCACATTAAAGAAATATTAAGAATACATGTGAGTTAAATATAAGCAATACTACTTCATCCATTATCAATTGGTATTAGATAGGATGCAAGTTTTGTGTTAAACACTACATATCCAATTTTCACAAGAGCTTATTCAAGTTAGATCATGGATCTTGATTAAAGGTAGGACGAAGGGTGCAATGTTTTCTCTATATTACAATGGAATGCTTGAAATTCTGCAGTAGCGAAGCACATTGATATAGGGATTTATATTCAAGCGCCAAGGTCAGCACAATTAAAACTTAGGTTTGAGTTTTTATAATTCAATTGATGTTATTTTTTCTTGATTTCGGTATTGGTATGTCTGGAAATTACACTGTGATGGTAGGATCATTGATTAATGTTTGCCACAGGGGAATGTTACTGTTTGAACAGGATTATTTTGGCTTCTGAATTTTCTGCCTTGGGGTGACCATATTCATAGTTATTTATCATTTTGATGAGTAGGGTTTTTGTGAATTATAAGCCCAAGTACCTTTTGTACTCAATTTAATAAAATCATTTATCACTGATCAAAGAGAAAAAAAAAGAGAGTAAATTATAACAATGTAAAGCTATGCATATATAATGTACACAAAAACTTGAACATTTAACATTA